CAACCTGTCCAGTATGACTGATTCTTCGAAATTGATTGAGGGAAATAGGTCCTGTGTGGCTGTCCCCTTTGAGCTTGATGGCTGTCCCATTCCACATGAATTCTATGGTGAGTTTTTTGTAATCCACAATGATTGGACCAAGTGCTTGTAACCATTGTACACCAAGCACCATGTCAGCTCCTTGAATGGGAAGAATATAGAAGTCACCATAAAAACATGCTGGTGAATTTGGACTGGTACAGCAGGGCACATGCCTTCACATTGCAACTTTTGGTCATCACCCACCATCACTTCAAATTACCTATCCACTGTAATTGTAAGTGCCAGAGTAGACACCACCTTGGGTTGAAGGAAGTTATGTGTGCTTCTTCCATCAACCAACAAAGAGAATTCTGATTTACCAATATGACTAGTAAATCGAAGTGTTTGAGGAGCTAACACACCAGACAAGGCATGGAAACTGATTTGAGGTGTGTCATTATCAATGTGGCCTGCTATGATGTCTGGTTGACCTGAATCATCTATTTGCTCCCTTATTTTCTCCTCAGATATCTCATCATCAGGAACAATCAAGACATGGACAGATGCCTTACATTTGTGGCCAAAAAAATACATTTCACCAAATGTAAAACACAAATTTTTGTCCTTGCGTTCTTGGATCTGACTTTGGGATAAACGGTGGGTTATGGGTTTAGTGTAACTGGTGTTTGGGAAAGTGTTCTTGACAATAACTGGACTTGATTTGGGTGTGGGTAATAATGGTGGATATAGGGAGTGGATTTTGGGAGGGTTATTTTTAAGTTGCAATTTGGATTCCTGAAGCTTGGCTAAAGATATTGCACGGGTTAAAGAGGTTGGGTAAAAGGCATAAACATCATGTTTAATCTCTTGTTTCAATCCAGACACAAAACAACTAATGTGGAAGGATTCTGATAGACCATCTACCTTATTTGAAAGGAGTTCAAAGGCCTCTTGAAATTCTAACACAGACCCAGTTTGACAGAGTTTTGTCAACTGACCTTGAAAGTCTTCCATGTCAGAGGGTCCAAATCGAACTTGGATAGCATGCTCAAACCCATTCCATAAATCAATAGTTGTATTCTTTTTAAACCATTGAAACCATGCCAGAGCTTTACCTTCAAGATAAAAGGGAGCAATCTTGAGTCTCTGGCTGTCTTCCATGTCATAGAAATCGAAAAATTGATTGATATGAAATATCCATCCTTGTGGGTCATAAGAACCATTGAAGCGAGAAGCTTTCAGTCGTAAATTTCTTGCTGTTGCATGATCTTTGGAACTCGTATTTGGAATACTGGTGGTTGCGCTCGTTGCTGAATGTGATTCCTGGTAGCTGTCGAGGATGACATCTAACTTGCATGTCAATTCCTGAAACCGCTTATGCATTTGTTCTCGTAATCCTTCCACCTTCGTTTGTGTATTCTCCAATCGATCTTCGAAGGTGCGAGCACGAGTTTCTGGTGCCATGGTTCAAAGATGAAATCACCAAATTGATAGGTTGAACTAGGGATTATCAGAAAAGGGGGAAAGATAGAGAGAAATATCAGAGAAAAGGTGAGAAAACAGAAATGGACTTTTTTATTGCAATATTCAGAATGAATCAACTTTTACATTTTCCCTCTCTTTTATTCGACTATAGTAACTACCAGACACGTGATACCCACGTGTAAGCTTATTACATTGAGTCTCTATATCTAAGAGGTCTCCTTCTATTACGTGGTATTCTATTAATAGCCATATTCGGTTCTTCTACAAGTTGTGGGCAAGTGGCAGTGTCCACCTCATCTCTTCTGACTTGTGGATGCTCTCCTTGATCTTCTATTGTATCAATTTTGCACCTAATTACGAATATATTGCACTCATTCACGCCCAATAATGGTACTATAACATTAAATTCAAAATTCAAAATTCAAATAAGCTCCAATAAGTTGATTGCATTTTGTATTTAATAGGAGTTGATTGTGTTTTATATTTAATAAGAGCTGATTGCGTTGTAATTTTATGAGTTGGTTACAGATTGTCGCCAATTCAAATAAATTTACTGGAGGTTATTTGAATTTTGAATTTAATGTTATAGGAGTTGATTACATTTTGTATTTAATAGGAGTTGATTGTGTTTTGTATTTAATATGAAATTTGGTGCCATCTTATTTATAGATGAGTTAATCCACTTTGGTGTCATCTTTATAGTATCATTGTTGCAAATTTGAATTGTGTTTGTGAGAGATAAAATATATCAAATGAGATGTCATTGCGTAGATCTCAAAAATTTATGTGAAATCAAAAAAAGAATTACCTCATTCGAATACCCGAGTCAAAAGTTATGGCCTTATAAAATTTTACGGTTAAACTATTAATTTCTTGTGATACATGTCAACACCAGATGAGTCATGCCTAATTTAGGCGTGAATGCTTTGGGAGTCACGCCTAACTTAGGCGTGAATTGTCACGCCTAATTTGGACGTGAATGAGTGCAATAGATTTGTAGATAGTTTCTAAACTGCAACCTATTCGTAATTAATTATTAAAAGTGTAATATTTTAATTTTTTTTTGCCAAATTTCTAGTTGGATGTTAATGCTTGTTACATGAAATATTCAAACAATTTACTAAAAAAGAGCAATATTTCAAACAGTATTACATATATCTTATCAACTTGGGTTTAATCTCGGGTTTGTATCACCAATTGTACTTATGCTAATGTGAAGGGTGTAGCCTTAGGATCAGTATAGCGAGGGACTTAATCCTAATTAACACCAATTCTAACCCAATAATGCCCTATACATAGAAGAAGAAAAAGAACCAAATGTCAACATATGTAAAATTTCATATAAAATACCCCCCAAAAAAAAGTTCATATAAAATAGAGCATAAGATGTGCCTTGATAAAATGAGCTTCATAGTAAGATTAGTGTTTAAAACATGTTTGAAGTATCTTCTGATTAGAAGAAGCCAACAGAAAAATATAAAAATCTTATTGGCACATTAGTTATGCCCATGAATCTTATGCTTACAAGCATGCATCTAAGATATTCTTGTATCAAATCAAAGCCTTTCTAAGGAAAATAGCATAATAAGATAAGACTTCCACTTTCATTAATTTCCCCTTGAAATTACCTCTTATAACTCTCTTCGCAATTTTATACTTCTGACGTGAACATGTCACTAGTTTGACTACTGAAGAGGAAAAGCATTAGGAACTCAGTTCAACTTATCCAAACTTAATTCCGATCAGAAAAGAGATTCAGTTGTTATTACTGAAAACTTGTTCAACATTAGAAACCCCACTAAACCTTTTTTCCCCCCTTCCCAACTGTTCTGTTTTTACTTCTGCTAATTTGCAACAAGAAGCATAACCAAAGGGAAAAACAAGATTTTTTTTTTTTTTTTTTTTGACCATGTAGTAATAATACATTGTAATAACTGAAGATGAATGATCTGTTTATAATTTTTTTTTTATAAATTACATTAAGTATGACCGGTGATACACTCTTGATTGAAGTATGAGTGTATGACCTATCATACTTAATGTAGTTTATAAAAATTTATAAATAAAGAATTTATAAATATAATATTCCCCCTAACTAACTGAACTCAATCTACATTCTCAAAATGGGATTCCCCGTAACATAGAATACGGTACAAAACATTTGTTTGTACATATAATCTACATCCTCGAACATTTGTTTAAAAGTGTTGACAAATTTATTCTGTATGTAGATGTCTATCTAAGGAATATATGAGACTTGGTTTCCAATAAATTTTTGACAAACCATCTTAACCGATATTTTGATCAATATGTTGATTATAATTTATTGAATTATATTCGTTAATTAAATCTTAATTCTTAATAAATTATTATTATTAATTTAACAGAAATTAATAATTGAGATGTGATGTCAAATTTTTTTGGAGTGCTACTGCCACTTACTCCTACACATAGGTCCCCCCGAAGTCAGAGGTGATTGGACTGAAAATGAAGCAGACACCAATTATGACCAATTGATCACTACGGTTGCTTCGGTGGCTCTTCTATGGGCTAGCTTATTCCAATTTTTCAGATCAAGATTAAAATTGAGGGTTTAATTTATATAATATATGATAAAACTTTGATATGGGAAGGACTTTAAAGATATGGAATGGCCTACTTAATTTTAATATATGACACAATTTTGATGTAGGAAAGATATAAAGATATGTTATGGCCTACTTTCATGACCCTGACTCCTTCCCCACGGGCAGCTCACCCGGGCAAAATAAAATATGAAAGAAAATTCAAAGAATAAAAACTCTAATTTGGCATGAAGTTAATGTTCCATATTTGAAAGGGATGTCTTTTTATTTTAAATGCATTATTTATGTATGATTTGTGTTTGGTTTACTATTTTAGAAACGTGCCTTTATTGGGATATGATTATGTGCTTGCAATGTGCCTACATTATTGATGCTTGAGTATTATAAATTAGAATTTTTTTTAGTAGGCTATAAATTAGAATTTTCAGTCTACTATACTTTGTAACATATTATCTGGTATCATATAAATCAATGCTATAAATGTTTAACATTTACAGGGAAAAAAAAGAAAAAAAAAAAGACCACAAGATGTTGACTCCTTAATTTGAAGCAAATTTACATATGAGTATGCAAAAACAACTCTTGAAAAATAAAAACTAAATACACTTGTATAGTATCCTACTGAATTCATTTGACATGGGTAAGGGCATTATTCAAACAATTTGAAGTATAATTTTACAGGGAATATAGTTTTTAATATTTATATCATGCACGTACAAAAAAGAGGGTTTGATCCACTTATTTTTCCTTTTTTTTTTTTCTTTGTGGATTTCACTCATTTTTATGTGTGTGTACGAGATAAAATTAGAAACTATATTCTTAATTTTATAGTGCTAAATTTTGAATGTTTACAGTGTGTATAATTACAAATTATTCTCCCTTTTTGAGCCTGCCTTGGAAACTTCTTCCTCATACATACATTGCATCATTGTTCAGGCTGAAATTGCTATTTAAATCAGCCCCTTGTATACAATGGATGAAGTCATTTCCATCCACTTGGTTTGATAACTTAAGCTGTGAATTGTAAACCTCAGCGGCTGAACTGTGAATTAAACTATTATGATACTCTTCACCAAAGAGTCCTTCTGATATATGCATTTCAGCTTCTTGGAAAGTTGAATTTTGATCAAATTTTTGATCAAATTCATTCACCAAGACCAAAGAGTCATCTGAGCTCACAGAGCTAACACCATTTACTTGATCCAATGAAAGCCACTCAGCAAAAAACAGTTTTGGTAATGAGCTCTGACAGGCCTCCTTATTGGAAGAGTTATAATTCTGTGATAAAGAGTGATCAGAGTGTGCTGCTGATTTGTCCATGTTTTCTAACAATACATAACTTGGATCTTGAGTTGCAAGTTTCTGGGGAGAGAGTGAATAGTCCATTGTATCTGAGCTTGAGCTAGCATACTGAATTTGTTTAGGAGATTCCATTTCCTTATCTTTGTTCACTTTCTTTTTCAAATATGAATGCCAGTAGTTTTTTATCTCATTGTCAGTCCTTCCTGGCAAATGTTGTGCTATCTGAGACCACCTGGTTAGTATAATATAAGTAGCTCTCATCAGTTTTCAAAAATATATATTACATGTTCACTGTAAATTATATTTTCAATTTTAACCATTAATTTTATGAGCACTGATTTTCTCCTTTTATAGGAGAGAAGCAATACTTCCTACACTCACATTGAATTTTGTGTCAAATATTTTTTTATTTTTTATTTTTTAAAAGGAATGGTGGCTCTACATCTTTGTTTGAGTAGGAGATAACTTATTTTTTCCTACAAAATGAGAAAAGTTTTTCTCTAATTTTATTTATTTGTAATGATTTCAAATTTATTAGATATATAAGTTATTATATATATATAAACATTTTTCCTGTTAAAGGATATATATTTTTTATCTCCCATTAACTCATAAAACATGTATCCACCACCTAGTAAAATAAAAAAAAAATTGAGGCACAAAATTCGATGAACAGAACAGGAGAAAACACTACTCCATCAACCAACCAAAGTGTTTTCTCCTCTATATATATATATATATATATATATATATATATATATGGGGCAGGTTATATTTACAAACTTATTTGTTTACAAACTTTTACAAACTACACTATATTCTCTCAGGAGAACATTGGCCACACCATCTTCTCCCGGAAGAACATAGTATAATTTGAAAAAATTTGTAAAAAATTTTTGTAAACAGATCTGTTCCCTATATATATATATATAAAGGAAAAAATAATATAAACCCTTCGATAACCATGCAATTATTTAGTTTCTTTTTATTACTATGTTTATGTAACAAGATATATTTATATATATATACACACACCAAGGATCTTTTGACCCAAGTGTATGATTAAGATATCTTACATCTCATCTCAACCGTTAATTTTTATACATTTGAGAGTTGTACTTTATTAAGTTATCCATTACATAATTACTAATTTCAAATAAATTATAACCATAAGATAAATAAAAATAAATGGATGAGATAAGACATAAAACTTTTTAATTTTACACTAGAGTCAAAGAATCCTCCTTTATATATATACTTAACTTATACTGGTGTAAAAATAATAAATTTTATAATAAAATTTATTATAATAAATCTTAATTGTTGATCTACTTTCATCTGGATGTGAAATATATAACATAAAGAAAATGTCTCCCCAAAAATAACATTAATTGAAAAATAGTAATGTTGAATTTCTATTCTATGTTTGAGGAACGGAGCTGTGAGTTAGTGAGTTAATGTTATCAAGTTTAAGAAAATAATTCTTTAAGATGAGTTTATACGTATAATCTTTAAATTTTAGTATGTTAAGATTATGATGTATTTTAAATTAAATAAAGAATAAGTATATCCCTTGCTTGTACACTTTAAAAATAAACTAATAATTGAGCCTTGTAAGAAAAATTAGGCATGTCAAATCAAAGCAATTATGAAGAAAAAATACAGAAGTATATTTGAGTGTAAAATATGTAATAAGCTGATTGTTAATTATATGTGATGGAAAAGTCCAAAACAAATAATATTGAGCTAGATTTAATTTAAATTAAAAAACAAGGAATAGTATACCAGATGTATTTTATATGTACATGCACATCTCTCCCTCCTTTTAAAAATGGAGCATGCTATCCATGCCTGTCCTACTAGTTTTTCATTTTAGTAGTATTTAAATAGGACCCAATTGCTTCTATAAAATAAAATCAAATGGGAAATAGCTGGCAAGTCCAATTACATTATTTAACCTAAGACCTCAAAAAAATTAAATTGAAAAAAAGATGGTTTTCTTTTCTTGTACCATTTGCACTAATTAATAGGAAACTAACAACTCCTTGACTTAAAAAGTCTAAAAATTACAAAATTTACTTCTTTCATTTCAAACTTGCTGGTAAAATTGAAATCATAAAAAATAAAGTAAAAGTAATATTGTCCTTGTTGCTTACTTGTTGCCCAACATGTGATGAAGAGTCATGATGGTATCCTCCTCCTGTTTGCTGAACACCCCTCTCTTTAATCCTGGCCTCAGGTAATTGATCCACCTTAGTCTGCAGCTCTTTCCATTCCTTTGCAAGCCTGGAAAATGTGTTCAATTTTAACAGAAGAATTTAATATTGACTCAAAAGCGCATATCTAGTCAGGTATAAGTATAAAAGTTTGCTAATCAGAGGCTTAAAAAATGCTTAGGTTGCTGTCCTTTACAATGAAGATTCTGAACTTTTAACCACATTTATCTCTTTCTAATTTGGAGTTGATTGGAGGAAATTCTTGGAATTGATTCAGCTTAAGAATATCTTAATTGTTAGTTTATTTTTACTAGATACCTCAAATTGATTGGTGCCAAAGTCAGGGAAGCAAGGCCACATTTCAGTTTGATAACTTAATCTGAGGTCAAATAAGTTCAAAGCACATTTTATCAGATGAAAAGAGAAGAGAAACTTCTCCTTAACAAAACCAAGGAAGTCTCTATTGAATAATGATATAGGATTAGCATAATAACCAAGAAGAATGCTCCTTTGCTAGGTATATATCAGGAATAAGAAAGAAAAGAAAAGAAAAAACCTACCTGCCTTAATGGGGACAGAGCTCCAGCAACCATGACCATGCTGAATGATATGGTTTCTGAGCTTATTATCTTCTTCAGGTGACCATAAACCCTTTCTGTATTTTGGTTTTGCTTTTTCTAATGGCTGGCACCCCATTTTGCTTCTTTTCTTTTTTTGACAAAAATTCAGATATTGGTAAGCTTGGATTCCCTAGAGTATGTATGAACTGCAGAGAGACTTAACAGACAAAGACAAAAGGAAGGCACAATATTTGGCATAGAAACAGTGCACAAGCAGACTAATATATATTGCAATAGATAGTTGTCATTGTGCAATATATGTCCATAACTTATCACAGAAAGAGTGGAAATAAAAAAATGAATAAATATATGAACCAAGCATGAGTCTCCCTTTCTGAAAGGGTACCCAACTTGGAAAATGTTGGAATAATTTTACACCAAAGCCATCACTGTTTGTCTTTTTTCTCTGCAACAATATTCATTTGTCAAAATAAGTATACCATAGTTCAAAAACCCCACAAGCTACATGATTTATTTTTCGGTACCCTCTAGCTAGTTTGATTTTTCCTACAAAAAATTGCTCTTTTTAAACATTTTTATTTGCAAATACTTTTAGAAAGATCATATTCATGACCATTTAATAAAGGCCAGACTTTATTATTGCAAGTTATTGTATAACTATATTTAAACCTTCACCTAGTATTTTAATATGTAAGGTTTTTTTTTTCTTACCTAATATCAGAGTCTTATTTTATGTGACGGTCTTTCTTAAAGATATAAGAAGAATCTTCAAACTTCACCTACAACTTAAACTTATATAGCTGATGCAAATTTTTTCCCCTCTAGCCAATCAGACTTTTCTCTGAGTATGAGAAATTAGAGGCTTAATCAAGTCAACATTTGCCGACATATTATCTATATCCACCAATAGCAATTAACAAAGTTCAGGATATTACAAGGGTCTCCAGCTTCACCGTGCAGAAGAGCTTTTTTTGCAAGAACTAATTAACATTAGTAACAAATCTCTAACGTGTGTCTTCCTTTTAAAATTGGAAGGAACAAACACCAAAGAGTGGGGATAAACCTTCAGATTGTTGAACAAGATCCTGCTTAATTTAACAACCTTTAAGCTATTCATTTATGGTGAATGCTATTATAACCAGTTGACCAAAGAGTGTTGAATTCATCCTGATGCACTCCATTATTGATCCAATCCTCAAAGAAGCATTTATTTTAACAAGGAATTATGAAGTTTTAATAATGACTCTAGTAAGGTCAATTTTGCTCCTATAGCAGTTCCAAATTCTTGAATTATATATACCTGATTGGTTGGAGCTGGCACTTATGTCATCACTTACATATGACAAAGGAGAAACACTGGTTTTCTTAACTGCATTAACTTTGTAATAGAATTTTGATGTTTTTCTAAAGAATAGGGGAATATGATGACTTCTCTATACTATATTTTTTTTTTTTTGTCCTTTTCTTTTTGCCATCTTCCATAGCTAGATGTTTATATCTTGTCTTTTTGTTAATCATATTCCTTACGTAATTTGGTCTTTCTTTTTTCACTTGTCATGTCTTCCCTAAACTGAATCTAACTAAGGATGTTTAATCCAATTCTACTAGTGGACAAGAGTAAAAAAGTAATTGTTAACATACAAGGCGAATGCATCAACAAAAAAACACGATTCCTAGCCTTATTTGTTGAATTATTTTGAATTTGAATCATGAAGCGAATATTTTAAGGGAAAAGTGTGTATCATTTTAAAAGATGTAAAATTGTGTCTTTCTAAGTAAGAAAAAAAGATGGATAAAGGAGGAGAGAGTGGACAAACAAATATAAAGGTGTGGGTCCCACCTCTTTGTGAGAGTAAAATGACATAAATTGTGTCATTTAAAAGGACAAACAGTTATCTCATATTTTAATTGGAACGTGAATAATAATAGAACGAACAGTTTTACAGATTTGTCTCTTTTCTTGTATTTAACTATGAATTTAGTGTGTCTCCTTTTATAATGTTGTGTCTTTTTAATAATTATAACTATGAGCTTTATTAATATCATGCAATATGAGAGAACTCTCTTATGTAATAGAGATAATCATGTGTGGGACCCACCCACTATAGAAAAAAAAAGAATAAAAAAAGAATACGAAAATCGATGTATGTACAGGAGAGAAAAATTCTCTTCTACAACATAAGAGTATATTTTTCCTATAACTATATATCACGGGTATTATATAATTATAAGGAAGAGATTACAATTACTACCTTTTTTCCTTACTACTTATTACTACCAAATCTTAACCGTTGATTTCCGTCAATCTAACGGTTATAATTTATTAGAATTAATAATTAATTAATAAATGTGACCCAATAAATCATAACCGCTAGATTGACAGAAATCAACGGTTAAGATTTGGTAGTAACAAGTAGTAAAAAAAAAAGGTAGTAAGTATAACCTTTTTCTAATTATAATATTCAAGTTGTACTTTTTACTTTTCACATCAGCAGACAACTTTTAAAGAAAGAGAAAAAAATAACTTTAATATTATAACTATATACTATAGGTAATATATGGTTATAACTCTTAAACGACACAACCTTGTGTCCAAAAAAAAAATTCTTTAACTATTTTTAGGCTAAGCATGTAACAAATTTGAGATGATAATGTTTTGTAATACGAGAAATGTACTTATCTTTTTGTGGGAGAAGAGATTTTTACAGCAATCAATTAACACTCTTATCTATAAGATATATTGTAATTTTAAAAGTTATTTTTTTCCTCTCTTTAGAAGGTTATCGGTTGACGTGGCACAGTGACAGAGCTATTTGTATGTCAGTTGGTGCCAAGATATCAACTAATTTTTAAAGATTGTAAAAATTTTCTTAAAAATTTGGGTAATAAATTCAATCTAATAAACTCTTCATGCAAAAATATACTATGCATTATGAAATCATAGGCTAATCAAACCAAACTTTGACACCTGACAACATAATAAAAAATAAGAAAAAGCTCATCAATATTTATGTAATTTATTTCAGAATTATTTATGTCATTGTGATTGTTTTTTTATCACATTAATATATGCACATGTGGTTTACAAAAGGATAGTCTTTTATCATATATGTTTCTGTGATTTTTTTACATTTTACAAATTATAAAGACATATGTGATAAATAAAAAATCACATGAGCATAGATGATTCTGAAGCAAACTACAGAGTTATAGGTAATTCTGAAGCAAACCATGTAAACATTGATAAAATTTTCCCTAAAAAATACTATTTACGTAATATTTGAATAAAATATTTAAAAAATGTGACACTTTAATTACGGTTCGATTAGGTTGCGTGTTTCTTCTTACAGAGTTAAACCCCTTTCATATACATGTGAAATGGCTTATATAATTGGTGATGCAAACCATGATGAGTGCGATAAGTCACGATATGACGTGTGACTGCTGTGCTTGATGTTGGAATTATCATTTTAACTTTTCAAGGGATGGGGCGTTTTGCGTTTAATGCTAAGTAAGTCTTGCATTATTACTTTATCTTATATTAATTAACGAAGCAATGAAATGAGTGGGGCTAAAGACAGATGCGTAACAATAACATAAAGAATAAAGGAAATCAGTAAATTGATAATTTGTTTAAGGGAAATAATTTTTTTATGTTGTAGGAAAATGCTTATCTTATGTTGTAGAAACAAGATTGCAAGTGGGACCCATAGGTAAGAGGAGAGAAAAAAAAAAGAAATGGGACCCACCTAGTTTTTGTGTGTGTAGGAAATGTAGTTATCTTATGTAAAAGTAGATAAATATAACCCTTTGTTTAATAATTGTGACTCTGCTAAATGTGGGATTTGATTTTTTATTTTATTATTTTTTTGATAATTGAGTATTTGATGTTTTCCGTACAAGTTTCAAAGTTGTATGTGAAGTTTTCTGTGGCGGCACGTTTTTTTCAATAAAAATTAGATAAAAAAAGTGTAAATACCTTTTTTTTGTCCCTGACAATATCCACAAAGTCCTTATTGGTTCTTAGCAATTAAAAAGAGACATAGTGGTCCCTTAAATTACAAAAAACGGTCACGTTAGTCCTTCTGTTAAATCTCATCCAACGACCCAACTAACGGTTCACACTTGGCACGTTAGTTTGCTGACGCGGATTTGAGTGGTCCACCGAGGATGTTGAGACGACAACGTTTTGATAATCAGTTGCATCTCCATGGTTGTGTGGACACCTGACCTAGCATCAGTTGCATCTCCAACGCCCTTATTGGTCCCTGACAAAAATCACGGGACATTTTTTGGTCCCTAACTAAAGAAAAACAGGGACATGAAATCAGAAGATTTCTATGCAATCAAATTTGTTAAACCAGAAGACATGGATGTACAACAATATGAAGTTCAGCTTTCTAAATCATGAAATTATTGTATGACACTTCCACCAACCACAACTACATATGTTAAAAGCAATCAGAAAAGGTAAAGTTAAACATTCATCAACCCTATGAAACATCATTGTTGGAACATCCACGACTTGGTTGTTTTCGTTTTAATTGTTTCACTCTTTTGAGTGATTCATCATCGTTTAACTGTTATACTGTGATGTGGCTTTGTTTTGAAGTTTTGGGTGACACTTCAACTTAAAGCACTCTCTTTTTTTTTTTCTGGAGTTTGGAGTGCCGATTTTTTGGTTCTGTTTTGAATTTCTTGCTACATAAGTATTTTTATAATTTTAGTTTTTGGGGTAAATTTTGACTTGGTCCTTTGTGAAATTTAGAATATATTTTTTTATTTTTTACTTGCTTTGGGTACTTAAAGTTGAAGTTTGATTTTGGGGTGGCAGCTCTTTGTGTTGTCCCAAGAACGCGTTTTGAAGATAATAGACATTGGTAATCTAGTTCTCAATTTTGCTTTGGTTAATTTAATTTATAAACCTCTTTCACTTTTTCTTGGGTCTTTCCTCTTGTTTATTTATTGTATGCCAATTATGAAACTATTGAAGTAAAGACAATTTTGGTAAAAGGTTCACCCGTTGGATAAATGCAATGGTATGAACTGCTTGATATTCGTGAGGACTGGGGAGGAGGGGTTTTGCTTTGTCCTTCTAGTCTTGAGGATCTTTTT